AAAAAGCTACGTAGAAAACCAATTCTCACCGAAGTGGTGGGAATTGATTTACCTCAAAAAGCAAGAAAATGTGACAAATCAAGAGAGTGGAAAATCAATTACCTGAAAAATGTTTCCTATTAAACATTCTAAAAAGTGAAAAATGGTAAAAAGTTTTCCATCTTTCATGAAAAACTTGTCCTATTAAAGAGGGCCTAACTGAATACAATTTCTCAACGATTCTCTAGCCAAATGGTACAGTGATAACAATCATGAAATGACTTGCATCTAAGATGTTCTTGTCAATTTGGTGAGTGAAGTGAAATTTGAAACCAAATTAAAGATCAACCAAATAAGACAGATTAAAATCCAATTGAAATTTTGCTGAAAGATCAGTAACAACCTATGAAATTTTGATGGAATATGTTTTTGAAGTTTGTCGGGAAGAAATGGTGGAGCTCGTGATGCCCACTTATTATTTCCTTTGTTAGAACAGTCCCCTTTTGGCTAAAAAGATAGTAAAATGACTTCCCTTTTTCACTAGGAAAAATGTGATCTTACTTTTACTTAAAAATTGGGTAACTTGTACATTAGATTCAGATTGGATCTCTTTTTGCATCCTCCTCCCTATTGGGTGGAGTGCCTTTAATGGCACATACTCGGTAGACGAACTGATTAACAAGATAAGATTTATGCAGTTGTTTTTCTGAATAAAATTGATTTTCATGTTATCATATAAATAGAACCCTTTTTTTTTCAAAAGAGATGCATATATGTTGAACAGACAGTTAGCTTGTTTACAAACTAAGTTAGACGATATTAAAATGAGAAAGTTGCACAAAGCATTATTACGCCTTCTCTCACAATCTAACTTTTGGGTTTGGGATTTTTATTTTAATGAGTTTCAAAATGAGTGTATGTTCACAACTTCTTGTATGTATCTTTTGGCCTTTTGGACATATTCCCATTTTTGCTCCAACTAATGAATCTATTTTTGACATTTGGCACAAAATATTATTATGGGAAAAATAATGCAACTTGACTTTATTCTAAATCTAATCTAAAATGGGAACTTGAAATTTTTATTTTTTATTTTTTCTATATTATTAAAAATGACATTCCTATACTATAATATTTTCTTTCTATTAATTGAATAACATGCCCTTTGCATATTATTTACTCAAATTTGTAATTGTACAAGTCTTGTAATTTTTTAAGTACACTATATTTTGATCGAACTTAAAATTATAAGTACTATAAAGCTCCACGTACAGAGAGTTTAGCCGATTACAGGAGGACACATATCTTCCCATGTCACCCATATCTTGTACGTGTAGCAGTTTTCTTATAAATAACTGGACTTGAATAAATTAATTTCCTTATTTTAAAAATTACTTATTTACTTATAAGTGATTTTTTAAAACTTAGCCAAACAGGATCATCGTGTGTCATAATATAAGATTTTGATTGGGACTACCTCGTACCACAACACCAACTTTTTAATTTGTTTGTTCTAACACAATTTTTATTTTTAATTTTCTTTTGACATCTAGAAGAAAATAAAATAGAAAAATGGCAAAAATCAATAAATTAGTACCTTCCCAGAGCCGGAAAAGCACAAATATTAAAGAATTTTGGAAAAGAATCATGGGAGGCTTGATTTTTTTTATTCATTTATTTTCAACTCTTTGAGGTTGGTCGAGGGATTTAATAATACATTAATACTCCTATTTCTATGTAAAAGTCTACACTCTAGAGAGAATAGAATGTGGGTATGTTTCCTCTTTTCTATATTTTAATCTGTTCGTGTATGAATTTTTGTGTTCCCATGAGTTGATTGAAGAGCTCGGGTTTTCGTTTCATGGCTTCTGGGTTTTTTGGGTTGAGAATGTTGGACCCATGCAGACTGAAATCTGATTATTTGAATTATTTCTCTTTTTGGGATTTTTCTTATTGATCTGGTAAGTCTTGTTTTTTACATTTTTTCCCTTTTTATCTCCATGCATTTTCTGGGATTTGACATGGGTTTTTAACATTTGGTATCAATTTTTGATATTTATGCTTCGTGTTCTTTATTTTTAGTGATTGTTGTGTTCTTCTGCTTGATTTTTTTTTTTCATTTTAATAGATTGAATGTAGGTTTCATGCAATTTTATGCTGTCGATTGAAGAAGTTTTTGGCATTGATTTAAGAGAGTGATTAGAGAGAGAAGGGGCTGTAGAATGGTGACTCAGGCAATGGGATCTCAGGGTGGTGGTGGTAACCGAACCCAAATCCAAACTCAAGAGCCGAAATCGAATTCATTGGCCAGCCAGGGATCGTTGTATAGCCTCACTCTTGATGAGGTACAAAATCAATTGGGGGATTTAGGAAAACCATTGAGTAGCATGAACCTTGATGAGCTTCTTAAGACTGTGTGGAGTGCTGAAGCTAATAATCAAGCAGTGGAGGGCACTGATTATGGGCCCAACGTGCAGCAGCCTGGTCAGCGGATGTCGTCCTCACTGAATCCACAGTCGAGCCCCACGCTGTTGAGGGATCTGAGCAAGAAGACTGTTGATGAGTTGTGGCAGGATATTCAACAAGGACAGAAGAAGAATAGCCTTGACAGGAAAGCTACTCTTGGGGAGATAACATTGGAGGATTTCTTGGTTAAGGCAGGAATTGTAGCTGAGTCGTCTCCTGGGAAGAAAAGTTTGGGCTCAGCGGTTGGGCCTGTTGATCCAATGGCATTGCCACAGCAAGTTCAGTGGACACATTATCAGTTCCCTTCGAATAGTCCACGGCAGCAACAGCAACATAACATGCTGCCTGTATTTATCCCAGGCCACTCACTTCAACAGCCTATTCCTATCGGTGGAAACTCGATGGCGGATGCAGCTTATCCCGAGACCCAAATAACCATGTCTCCATCCACTTTGATGGGAACTTTATCAGACACACAGACCCCTGGAAGAAAGAGGGTTGCTCCTGATGGTATGGTTGAAAAAAGTGTCGAAAGGAGGCAAAAGAGAATGATCAAGAACAGGGAGTCGGCAGCAAGGTCTCGAGCAAGGAAGCAGGTGTGTTTCATACTCCCGACGTGCCAAACTTTTAACTTTTTTTTATTTTTATTTTTTGTTCCTTTCGTGCTGTTAAGTTCATTGGAGATTCTCTTTTATTTGGTAGGCTTACACCCATGAGCTGGAGAACAAGGTTTCACGTCTGGAAGAGGAGAATGAACGGCTTCGGAGACAAAAGGTAGCTTGATCATCTTTTTGCTCAATTTTATTGTACCCTTCCTTCCCCTATTTTTCAGCATATCACAATGTGTAAAGATGTCTGCAGTGTATTGACACCTATAATATTTTGTGTTGGTTTTGAAGTCTTTTAAAAATTTGTGCTGTGTTGCAGTCTTGTTTGGCTCTTTACTGGCAGTGCTTGCATGACCTGAACAATTTCTTTTTCCATCCCATATGCAAATTTTAACTGATATAAAACATTATGTCAAACTCATTAAAAGTTCTTTAAAGTATTTTTGTATTTATGCAACAATAGTGCGAAGCCATAAAATTTTGTGAGATCGGTCATTTAGCCTCTGATTGGTTGCTTTTTTTTGGAGATTTTTATCAAATTTTGATAGAATTGATGTTGACTTTGAAATATTAAAATAGAGACTGCAAAGTGGATGTTGAAGTAGGGAAAGTAGGGTATGTATTATTTTCATCCAATGTGTCAATTTTAACCTCCACGAGCGTTACTAAATTACTGAAATGTGCTTTCAAATTAATTCTACAAACCAACCCTTCCCCACTGGTAGAGGGAAAAATAGGCATTGGAATCAAAATCTAAAAATGTTTTGAATCTGGTTTTTTCAGCTATCAGACATACCGCTTGACATTGCTTTAAAAGTTTAAAAAGGGACCCACATCACGGATGCAAAAAATCGATTTTTTGGTGTAATGGGGCACCCAAACAAATGCTTAATAACTTGCCTCTGTTGAAGTTGCCTTAAGTAGTTTACTGTTTTACTTGGAAGTAGCACATGCTTTGTATAAATTGGTGTTTTACATTTAACCTAGGATGCATCGACACTCTCCTAGCTGACGTGAGTCAGTGTCAGACACTGACACGTTGGCGACACGTGTTGGAAACGATAGGTGGCGTATCCAAATTATTTTTTAATTTTGAACAATTGGACATGTTTGGAGATACATTGTTGACACGTTGGCAATATACTATCCGCACAATAGAATCAACGAAAACGAACTTATTTTTACAATATATGAAATAAAAAATAATTTATTTTAAAAAGCGTGTCAAGGGCGTGTTGTGTTGGTATTTTTTTGTAAAATTGTGTGCCGGTGTGTCGTGTCGTGTTCGACACTCATGTTTTTATCTGTGCTTCCTAGCATTTAACCATGATGGTGAATCATGGATCAACCTTTGATACATTTTGAGGTGGCAATGGCACTGTCAGACTTATTTTGGCCCTTTGTGGTGCTTATGATTGGAAAAACAAAAGGACTTGGACTTGGAAACATCGGTGATCAGATTGAAAAGCCATCTTCAAAAGAGTTTGTACTTTTAGGAGTCAAGAATCTTGCCCAACACTTTGGCTTTATTTTTATCTACTTTATGTGGAGTTAAAGATTAAGAAAATAGAAAGGCAAGTTATGCCCAGGTCCTAAAGTTTCGCTCTCATTTCTGCTCATATAGTTAGGATATCTTCATGCGTCACCTGTCTTTTACGGATCTATATTTCCATTTAAAGCAATGAAAACCACTCAAGAATAAATCATTTAGGTATTGTGTGAACCGATGCAAAAGAGCAATGAACATGAGCTCTAAAATCCAAATTACATTGAAGAATATGGATAAATCAGTCTGTTTCTTTGCGTGTTTTTGATTTCATTTTGTTTACTATTTGATCTTGGAGTTAAGGATTAGGTATAATACGTAAAACTCTATCGTTGCTACTTAAATGCTAAACCTATGGCGCTTACTCATTCGCTATTCCTATCTGATATAAAAGGATCACATGATACTGAAACTATCTTACCTCGGATCCCAAGTTTGTCTGTTATATAATTGTATTACCGGTTGGTATATCAGTCTTCTTGGTTGACTGATGTAATTGATTTGGCCTTGTAAGTACGGCGTGACCCATGTTGTAAATCACAGGTTTTCACTTGTAACTTACCAAACTGGATGTTACATGCTTATATTTCATGATATGAACATGGCCTTGCATAAAAAGGAGTAGCTATTCGCACACAAGACAATTGTATTCTCTTAGGTGCGATGATAATCCATTAATTTCTTCTTCCATTTTGGGTTTCTAAAACTTGTCTTAGATATATGTGTTTGTCTTAGTTCTTTAGACCAGTGACTTTGAGATTTGTCACTAAAGCAATTAATCAAGCATAATTCTTGTAGATCTTTTGGGATTTCTTACACCTAGCTAACAATAATTATTCAAAATAATTTAACTTCCCAATCTGAGGTTCTCCTTTTTATGAGAAAGCTAGGCATGTTCCTTCTACTTCTTTTTCTAGGGTTCTCTTATCTCATTCCATTCCAGTGGCTCAACTAGTAACCAATGGCAAAGATTTAAAAAAAGCCATGGTTACCCTGTTTACTTCAGCTCGACCATAGTGATATTGTCGATAGAATGATGCAAACGAGCCTGAGTAAGATTCGTATTGCCAATGTCAACCACCAATTCTTTTCTTTCATGTAATAGTTTATAATCGATATATAGATGATGGCATCAATGATATTTGATAATTATGGTCAAAAGAGCCTAACAGTGAGTGTCATTTGTTGTTGAAATTGAAATTATTATTTTTATTCATCCTCTTATTCTTCCTTGGAGTTGAGAATTCCTTCTCCCTTTATGCGGAAGACACGTAGGATTCTCACTCTCCTCTATTGTGTGTCGGATTTTGCTGGCATTCATACATAGATTAGGTCAGCCTTCTATCATGTATGTATAAAGGCCATAGTGGTGGCATTAGTTAGTAGACAAGACAGATTTGTGTGAAAAACCTCGTAATCTAGGATTGCAAATCCTAGGTACGTATATGAAAAGTGGATCTAATTGTATTTCCGGTTGGTCTTTCACCAACCAGTTTGCTTGTTTCGTTGACGGATGTATTGATTTGTTCTTCTTTCCGTATTCATTAAGCACCTCCGTATGTATATTTTACTCATTGTTCTTACTGTACTGGCAGGAACTGGAGAAAGTGTTACCTAGTATACCGCCACCGGAACCCAAGTATCACCTGCGCAGAACGCACTCGGGCCCTCTCTAGGCTACGTGGATTTACTATGTTATGTCATCTTAATGATTATGTACTAATGGTAGTTAAACTTTTCGAGTGAACCCTTTCATGTTTGTACATTTTTTAGTTGCGACTTGAAATTTGAGACTGATTTCTGCAATTTGATGCATTTCTGTCATCGATTTTGGCCTTTCAGAAGGACCTTTATTTTTTTTTTTATCGCTTTATAGGTGTATGAGTCTGATATAGGTTCAAACAATGGAAATCTGGCATTTTGCTGGTCAACTTATATATTGTCTGTTTCTGGAGTACTGCTTGCATTTGCAGGATTGAAGAGAGCACAATGAAGCAGTAAGAAAACATGTCCTGACCATGGACATCTCAAGTCTTCTTGTTTCAGACATATAGAAGTGTAAAATGGATCGAACTGTAATAAAGATAAAGTTGACACATGCTAGGGGCAAAAAATTCCTTTTTGTTGGTTTTGTCGAAAAGAAAAATGATAAAAGGGCTGCGTGGCCGGCCATTGGTCTAGAGGCAAGTCAGGCACAATCCTCTTCTCTAGATAGGTTGTGTCGAGTCTAGGTTGTGTCAAACGAGGATCTAGTCGTGTGCTTATTGCTACTACAAATACTTTTTAAGATTAAACTATTTGTCCCGACTCAATGACCGGGACAAAAAAAGGGCGCCGAGGGGCCTGATCATTGAGCTGGGCCCTATGGCAGATCTCCACTTTTCAATTGCAGGCAAGGTCAATAATAACAAATTAAGTCTTCTCTTTTTTAATAATTTTAAATTGATTATTTGAATTCCTTTTTTTTTCATCAGCTTGTTAGCTGATGTCTTCGAATTGTCTGCCAAAACGGGCCCACATCTGATCCGATTGGACCCCTAGTAATGGACAAAGTAACTTCAGTTTCAATTGGGCCGGGGGACAGCCCAGACCCAGACCAGTGGATCACTTCTTTTTGTACAAAACTAAGGCAATTTCGTTTATTATGTTCTGGTTGATGTTTATTTGTTGTCAGCTTCTCAACCCTTGAAAAGTAACAATATGTTAATATTTAAATTCATTGGCTTCATTTGGCAACCATGTGTATTTTAACTTGGACTCGTATTGAAAAAAGGACTAGTTCACAAATTAGCAGTTGTGAAACATTGCTCCAATGAATATTTGAATTCATTAATGTTTTGACATCATCGTAGTAGTCGAGCACTTAGACGAAGACAAATGTCAACAAGAAACAAACATCAATAAAAATGTGAACACAATCATATTCTTGGAAAATTCATTGCCCGATGGCATGTGATCTGATGCATTTTGATGTTATAATGCTCTTCGCTTCACTTGTCTCTGAGTTTTTTCGACTTGCAGGTTGCTCGTATAGATGGAGCAAGAAGAAATTGCTGTCTTGTCACCGCAAAACTTGCTGCTTCAATGTCATCTGCACAGATGCTAACTTCTGTCCTCTTGTCCCTCTCATACTGAAGAGGCAGCAGTCGCCTAAAATCTGCTGGAATTAGTATAGATCTGAGAGTGCATCTCAGACAACCATCCTTACAGTACCATAGCACATTTAAACACAAGATCCTTGCTTCTTCCTGAATTTCAATGAAATAAGTCAAAATATATATATATTTCACTAAACTCAAATTTACATTTATAAGGTTGTTTAGAAACTATTCAAACAAAAAACAAAGGTCTGATTCTTGTTATTCACATTATAGCAGATTCATCCTCAAATTCATCTGTAGATTCCGCTTCTTCGACAGGCACCCTTTCGCCATCCGTCTGGTATTACCTATCCGCAATTAATCCTTATTTTCTTTTCGAACTATGACTAATTTTCTCAACCCTTTTAGAGATTGATTTTGTCCACAAGCAAAAAAATGTAGGAGGATACTTCAATTTATGATTTTCATTGTGCAGAATGAGTTGCCTAGTCGCCCAAGTTCTTGGTATGATATAGTGATAATTTAACTAAACAACTGGTCTATCCTGCATAAAACCACGTAAGGGTGTTATATACTTGTTTAAGAAACTTTATAAAGCATTAAAGCTCCCTTCTGATGCGACCACGAAAATTGTTGCCTATGGTTAACCACCACACACTGAGTAAAAAAAGCAAAGAATAGACAAAAATCCTGCTGAATTAGTGATTATACACTCGTTTCTATGTTTCACTCTTAACCCTTTCCTATAAAACGTTATTGATAGTTATAAAAATGTTCAACTTGACCAGCAAAGATCACAAGTGACAAATGCAACGTAAAGAACAAGTCCTGACCTTCCTACAGCTTCATTGCCCCGTAAAGCTGCAAGGTGAGCAAGCTGGTATATTGTGTCGAAATTTCGTTGATCCAGTGCCTTTTTATTGAATATGGCATCTGATAAAACAACTGATGATGCTCCCTGAGAAATATAGTCCCCTATCGAATCTGCATTGGCATAAGAGAAGTTTCATATAAATCACATTTTTGTTGTAGACTGACTTTCCAATCAATATTGTAGTATAAATCGTTTTATTGAGAAGAGTGAGCTGTAGATTATCAACAACCCGATGAAAACAGTGTTCTTCTTTCTATTTGTCGCGAAAAAAATATATTCTAGCTTTTAGTATATCCCCAGATGATGAATACATCTTTCAATTCTTCTTCAGATTTTTTCCTATATCGACTTGTTGGAAATATAAATAGAAGTTTCACTTGTCTGTAAAATAGAGAAGTAAATAATTATTTTGAATAACCAACCTATAGTTATGCCTTGTGATGCCACCATGGGGATATGGGGGAAAGGCTTTCTGATAGCTGCTATATACTGAACGCCACCTAATGCAGAAACAGGATATACCTTTGCAACAGAAAAGAGAAATAGAAAGCACTTTATTACGTGCAATGAATTTTAAGATTTGTAGAAAAGAACCAATCAATTTCATAAAGAGCATAACATTGTTCATCATCAGAAGAAATTTGAAGCGAAATATGTGATATGAAGACCTCTGAACATATGCATTTAATGAGAAACCTCATTGCTTTTGCCATTATTTCTTTCATTACATTATAGTTTATCAAATAAAACTTGGAATTAATGATTTCTTGCCAACACGCGTACTGGACTTTAAAGCCAGTGAGAACAGTATTAGATGATCTCCTGGAGAAGGAAAATTGAATGGTTTCATCATACTTTGAAGCCAGTTCCTGACCACCTCATACACCAGGTTCATTAAATCAAAAAATATGTGTTTCCTCATACTTTCTTTCATATTGCAATCCCTCAAGTATTATAACTGCTTCAAGAAATACAACTTGTTTGTGAAGAAATTTCATCCTTACATAAATATCATAAGATCTGCATGCCCAAGGTCTGGGAGAAAAGCAGTTTACCTTGACAAGTTTAGCACCAGCATTGAATGCAAACAATATCTGCATGATCATAGACATGACAGAATAAGTTTCTTCTTTCTTTTGGGTTGCTCAATAAAGACCATCTATCCTATACTTGTATAAACTGAAGAAAAAAACTAAAGAAGGTCATAAGCCTGAGATATCATTGGAAGAATATTAATAGGAACATACCTCAGTTGGGGTCATTACTCCAGGTATATACAGAGCTTGACCTCTTGTAACATCATCTAAAATATCCTGAGACAATTAAATAAGACAAACAGACTATGAAATTACATTGGTTTTCATTATTTGAACTTCATAGATAGATGCCACTTGAATATTATATTCGTGAAAGAGATTGACTAATATAAGAAAATGCATTGAAAATGAGCCTGGTATGACAAGAATCTCTTAGATTCCACTTGAAATATATATCTGAACTCCTTGCCATACCTTAACTATTGCAGGGCCCATTAGGAACTTAGCTCCAGACTTCATTGCATCTTTGGCATCTTTGCCGTCTAAAACAGTGCCCACCTAAAATACCAATTATATGATCATAATTTCTTTTTCATTTTCCAGAAAAGAAGCCAAGCACGAAGATATGATGGAGTATTTTTTTTTTTTTTTTACAGAATTTAGCATAAGGACTGGTTAACTAACACCGACAATCAGTATTTTCGAGACAAACTTAGTATTGTATGATCATAATGCCGCAAACCGGAATTTTTCAAAGAATGGAGAATTAACCCATTGAAATTATCTTCTAATGCTTTTTCAACCATCATAGATTGTTTCAAACTCATTCTTATATGGAAATTAGAAATGTAATACTTGTGACCAGTTTTCCTTCTGTGGAAACAAACATAAGAGCAAGGACATAAACGCACTGCAACCTCCCTATTACAGAATCTATCCTAATCCCAGGTATCATTTTCTTAACAATCAACCTTCCTTAAAAAGGACTATTGCTAGCTATTAGAATCCCACATTACTTGGGAAAATATTAATGATCCACTTAATAAGGTGAGGACAATCCTCCCCTAATAAGCCGGTTTTATTAGGTGGAGTTAGACTCAATATTCCTAACATAGTATCAGAGATAGACCCAATTATTCAATGTTGGGTGCCACCCAATATCGATTTGTTCACAATTGTTTGGCATGGTCCACGNCATGGTCCACGCTGTGCGTGAGAGGGCGTATTAGAATCCCACATTGTTTGGGAAAATATTAATGATCCACTTAATAAGGTGAGAGCAATCCTCCCCTAATAAGCCGATTTTATTAGGTGGAGTTAGACTCAATATTCCTAACACTAGCAAACAAGAAAATCCAATCCAAGAGTGATAAATATTAAGTAAAAACTGACTAAGAAATACTTACTCCTATTGATTTTGAAGGATATTCTTGGACCAAACGCTCTAAGACCTGAGTAGGAAGAAAAGAAAAGCATATTGACTTCAAAATTTTCCAGCATTGAGGAGCAAAGAAGGCAAGAAGATAGAAAAATTCATTCTTACCTCAAGTACACCTGGGTTAGACATCACAACTTCTAGCTGCAAATTGAGAAAGCATTAATGTCTACCAGAAGGCTCCATCCTACTATTTTAAGGGAAGATCCAAAAAGGAAAAGGGTCCAAATATTTCCACTTTATGTGCTCCCATCCCCATTACTGGGAAGAAATCCAAAAAAGGTTGACCTATGTACTCATCTCCTAACTTTTTCCGTAGCAAGATAGGGACACCTTGGATTCCCAAAAACAATGGATACTATAATTACTTAACTTCAGTAAAAAAAAATTGGCTTGCACATTCTACAGTTTAATGCAAAATGTGTCTATTTCAGAGTTGATTATCAACTTCTAAAGCACCAAGCATCCTAAATGGGGATTCAGTTTGGTTTATGAGTGTTGGAGGTGCACACTCCAGCTCAAAAAAGAAAGTAATAAATTGTGCAATTGTAGCACTACTAGGTATTTTGTTTCTTACTACACAGATTATTTAGAGTGGGAAGACAGAAAATAATACAATGCTACGTTTCAATTAGCATGCAAATTTTAATAAGATATAGATATATTCAAACTTACAACTGAGATACCACCACGCAGTGCTGCATGTGCAGCTTCAATTGCTATCTCTGCACTGAACAGATTAATTGGGGAAAGCAAGTAAACAACGATAATCAAGTAACAGGAAAAAAATTCCACGTAGCTATAACTCAACTCAATATTGAACCCGACTAAGGAAAAGAAGAAAAATGTTAATGTGAAACCAGTTCTCTCTTGGCACAGCAAGGTATAAACTAAACAGTGAGGCGTGCGGTATCACCCTGTTGCATAGTTACTCATTTTGGTATCCCTTTAAGGACCAACAGGTAATTCGTCTCTCTTGCAATGTGAGTAACAGAGATGGGCACAAAAATTATACTTGAGACATAAATACAGGGGAAAATTCGCCCCAAGTTGAGTACCCTTATGCTTCAAACTAACCAAGTGTATCTTTGGTAGAATCAGACAGTATAATAAACAATATTTTAGCTTCTTCATTTTTTTCTTTATTAATAATGTCATTTCGTCTAATCTAATCCTCCCTACCAAACATGTCCTACGGGTTTATCCTTGTTTTGACTGTTTTATAGTTATATAACCATTATATTTTTAAGTAAACAGAATCCCTATACTACAGATTACTAACCAAAAGCTTTAATTCAACACACAGATGTATTTCTGCATGAAGGTTTTACCTTTGAGCGCGAAGGCAAGCAATTATACCAGAATTTCGAATATCTGTCAACACTTTATCAGCAACTGAATTTGGAGAGTAAGAAAGGGAATTTTCATTCGAACATTTGAAAGAATTCTGTTTAAAATAAAAACAAGAACGCAGTTTCGAACATGAATGTGATGGGCGGATGGAAATAAAGGGATTTCTTGATGAAAAGAAGGAAGAATTGGGAGAAGCCATCGCCCACAAGCTATTACTGCTTGAAACCGCCATTTACAAAGCTTTATCCTAACAAAATCCTTAACTGCTACTTATAAACAGTAGGGAAAATTAGGACCTCGTTTTTCAATTTAATGTGTTTTGAGTCTTCAACTTTCCCAAAAAAAAAAAATATTTAAATCTGCAAAGTTAAGTTCCAAAATGACTGAAAATGACTATGTAGACGTTAAAACCTTACACTTAAAAAAATAAAAAATCATAAAATCACTTAACATCCATCTTTGAATTACATGAATGTCGCCTGAAATTAATGTTATCGTTCACATTTCAAAATTATGTTACTTAAAAGGTTGAGGAGTCTGACCTTAATTTTCTGGAATGTAATTTGGATGGAGATAAAAAGAAAGACCAAAGAGAATGATAAATCTTTTTATTTTCTTGTTAAATTAGAAAGTAGAAATATACAATGAATTCTTTATATTTGCTATTTTCTTACAAAAATTTAAAAATCGTTATGTACAATTTATTTCTACGTACATCATTATATTATGTCTAAATATGTATATTCAACGTGCAAAGCATGCACAAACTTAAATCACGCAGAAATGCACCGTTGACCGCCTCAGTTTTTTTAAAGATAAATAAATATCGCTTCAAATTTTTAAGTACAAATCCAGGTTGAAAGCAATAGAAGAATTTCATAAAATCTATGTTATTTGATGATTCAATATAGAATTTAGATTCTTTTTGTTACGTTGTTATTATGAAACTATAATAAAATGTTCAATCATACTACATGTACATCTTGTTTTATATTATTTTTAACATTATATCATGCGTCAGCATATAAATAGTTTAAAAAAAAACACAATTTTTTCACCCAACATTTTTTGAATTTACGCCCAATGTAAGGCAAGAGCAGTAGCTTTTTATTCTTTTTTAATCACAAATTTTTCAAAAAAATACTATTACAACCATTATAATTTCAAATAATGGGGGTCAAACAGTGGCTCAGCATAAGTTTAAAATGTTTGGGATCAATTGGTTTCCTTTTAAAAGTTGTGGACCCATTTGTTACAAGAGCAATAGCTTTGGATCGAGATCCCGATTCTATAATTTGACTCGAAGACCGGCTCAGTGTAATCCACCGAGTCAACAAGAATCGATAAATAAACTATTCCAGTTTGAACTCTCTTTCAATCCACCAGGTACCTTCCTTCAATTGACAGAAGAATTCTTTTCACATGTTCTTCAAATCATTATTTATCAAATACTTCACAGCTTCCTTAACAATTAAGAATGTAAATTGACGTCAGAAGAAATAAAATACCCAAAAAGTTGCAAAAGATTAGGGCCTGCCCAGGAATTATTTAAGGGTTTCCAATTTTTCGGTGGGCTGTATCTGTTTCAGGTGAGTCATGAATTTGCATTCAACTCTTCAGAATTTAATTTCTAGATTATACATATTATGATTCTGTTTGCAGATTTACAATTGATCGTGTGATCACAAATTTTATTTTTATTATTTTTGTAATTGTGAGAAACAGTGCAAGGAATTTTGGTTAATTCGAATTCATGACATCCCGGACATTGAGAAGAAGGCTCCACCACGGAGATGTTGACGGTAGAATAAACGAGCATTTGGAGACTTCTGGATTTGATTCTCTAGACGAGCCATTACTAGGAAATCGAGAATATGATGATGTGCACTCTGAGGTAAGAGATGTGATTGAATGACAATTGGCAGTTAAATTGTTGATTTATTGTTTTGGATGCAACGACAATAAAAATTATCATATTGATCTATATAGGGCTATTTACTTGGTGAAATTTTGGATGATGGGCGGCATAAAGAACATGTGCATTGGACAATGCTCTTTTCGCATATAATCGCTCAATGGGCGCAGTGGTTAGGTGTGCCAGAAATGGGATTTAATTTTGTTGATGTAATTTTTGAATTTTTAGGTGTTCGTGTTTCTAATGTTTTATGTTGAATTTGGTTTCTGTGTTAACATTAAAATTTTCTAAGTTGAGTGTATACAGTGTCTTCATTTAGGATTATTGGAGTAAATTAGATGTTTTGTTTTCGTTTATAGAATTGCTTCCTTTATATATTTCCTAAAGATGAAGAGAGACTTCTAATTCTGTAATGTATTGCTGTAGGTATACACTCTTTGTAGACGAGTCTCATACTTTCATGTACACAACTACTCACATATTATGAATCTGAAAATTGCGGTGTTTCTGCTTAATAAGAAATTAAGCATGTATGCATGGAAGCTAGGGCACCTTTCTGTAACCAAAATATATTTTGAGAATGGGAAAGATGAATAAGTTGAAATTTGCCCATTTCAATTTGGCAGCAGAGATGGCTAATTCAATTGGCATTGAACTCAGATTTGATGATATCGAGGATGTCTTTTCATTGAAAACTATCTTTCTGATGTTTTTAATCAAATTGAAATCTGAACTTGTTATCTTCAAGGGAAGGAATTAGGATGAATAAATTACACTGTCAAAGATGGCTAACAAACTTTGGACTTGAGCTCAAGTTCCAATCTGTGACAGCCTCAGCTCATAGAATGATATTGCGATTTTAGCGAAGATGGGCATCATACCCAACCCAATAGATCCGCTAACAGCTATTATTCCTTGGGGGATCAGCCAAAAACTTGAACTAGGACTATCAGATAGTAAATAAAGGAAATTCCTATTGCAGTTGTGAAGCTGTTGGGCCGTGTGTTAGACAGTATATTATAGTCCAGTGCCTTGAAAATATGAGGAGCATATAAAATTTCTATTATAACATTAAAGTATCCTTAATTGTTCTAATAAATATAATTTCTATCGTAGTTATTATATTTTTTATAATGAAATATCTAGTGAGGATCAATAGTTTCATCCTTTTGTTTTCAACAAATATTGTCTTGGACCTGGGTTACTGGACTGATTTTGCCTTGGTGTTATCTTGTGAAATAATGAATTTTTAATGCATAGAGAAGTATCAATAGTTTCAACTTTCTGTTTTCAGCAAATATTGTCCTCGGATCTGGGTCATTTATTGGACGGCTTTTGCCACTTGTATCGGGCACTCAAAATGGGCCAAACGGGAAGATCTCGCCCCCTTTACTTAGTCCCTTACAGGTATGTTCTAGTGATGTCATTGATGATTTTAGGTGTAATACACTTCAGTTTTCTTTCCTTGTTTTTTCTTGATAAGAGTCAGTGATATATTACACATAGCATGGTTGTAAGTGAAATATGTTTACCTTAATGTGTAATCATAGGTAAAGTGATTTATGCATATTTTTGCCTTACTCGTTGGACTTCTAGCTAAGCCTCCATTTGGAAATGTATATATCATTTATAAATAGTCAAACTTCATTTTCAACCACACATTTTAATGAACCCACAAATAGTATTCACCTATCACCACTCATTGCTATCTATTTATAAACTAAACCGTTTGTAAATTCTTTCCAAACCGAGGCTAATATAGGAGTATGCCACGGTTGTCCATTGCTTATACCTCGTAGCTTGATTATCTGTTACCGTGAATATTTTATTTCTGTATTGTGCTTGTGTTTGGACGTGGCATGTTATCTCATTGAGATGGGGGAAATGTAGTAGCACTAACTTTCTTCTTACAATTTCTCTAGTTGTATAGCTTTTTAATTTTGTTCATAAGTTACCACTTACCTGAGATGGTCCAAGCCTTTGTTGCATGTGATTGTATCATATAGAATCCAACATTTTGACTATGGATTCAGTTTTTACAAGAAATTGAGAAATTTCTGATTGAACTTTCAGTCATTTGATGATGCATGTAATTTTCTTATAAATTGTAAATAAAATTTTTACGATGAGTTTAATTTGTAGATTATTGTTTTCAACATTTATACAGCTATTTTAAATTTGAAATTCAGATTTTCACCTATTACCGTATTTCTGTGCTATTTTTTATGCTTGCATGATGTGAGGAATGACTTAAACTACGCAGCAAGTTGAAAAATGCACACTTAACATATCTGATAGTCTCAAAATATGTAATCTGGTTTGGATGATGTGTACATATATATTTAATAGTGAAGTACTCTTCAGGTTCAAATGTAGATTTTCTCAGAGGATGTGTGCAATATGTGGTTTTTACATGGTGCAATTTAAGTGCTTTTTTGGGAGGTGTTTAAATTATAATCATTCTTGGTCAAACATACTTTTTATCCACACATTGTGTGGACCAGATGTTTAAATTAAAAATAAATACCCCAAACTAGTTTTAAATCGTGAACTTGCAAATTGCAACAATGAAAGATGTATTGTAAATTAGACAGATACTAGAGGAGCCAAAAGGTTTTGTAGGTTATTTTTTTGGTTTACCCATGGCCATCTACCTAGAATAATCTAATCAATAATGTTCTGGGATATTACGTGAATCTTCTAGTATAAAATATCTTTTCTTTGTTATCTATTATCCAGAAGATCAAGCTTGTTTTTGTTTTCTAATCTATACAGTATAGCACTGAAATGTTGTTTTGCTCCATTCAACCTCCAAAAGACTTGGTTTCCTGTCATTCTAGTATTTTTATGTTCTTACATATATATTTTATATGTTTACCAATTTTTGTTGTTGATTCTTTAGTTGGTTTGTTAATAGGAAGCAAGACTCAAATATCTAAAGCAAAGGCTGGCAGTTCCTTTTGATGGTTCTTTTTTGGATCATCAGGTATGTACACTTTTCTTCTTTACTTTGGAATTCAGATTTAATTTACGTAGGGCAGACAAGAACCGGACATTTATAAAATTAGAGAAAAGAAAGTGGACATTTCAAGTCATTTCTCATTATAAAACGATTGAGAGTTGTTAATGTTAGGTTGAAGTATTCATGTTCTTTATGGAATTTCAAGTTAGTCAAAGGTGCCTCTTATATGTGTATATTTGTTACCTGCCTCATGCATCTTATTGTGTATGATTCTCCTACAGATTTGGACAAACACAAAATGTTTGAATACTGTTTGAGTTTGTGGAAAACTGTTTATACCGAATGGATCATGTAATTATAGTCAGATGATGATGTGATCACGCTTTTGATTGCTTACACTCTGATACCATTTTGATTTAGAGAAAATCAGCTAGCTGAATGATTCTTTAAGTCTATTAGAGCAAGATGTTCTGATAGGATACTTGAGTGCTTTGTTTAAAATTTCATATAGGCATGGGACACCTCCGTTTTGTTATATAATTGGAAATACATTAAATTGTGTAAGCAATTATAATATTGTGATGTTCATTTGCTAGTTGGTTACCCTCGTGATGTTATGATATAATCTTGATCCTTTGCTAGTTGGTTGCCCTCGTGGTGTTATTCTCACTTTTGGAGTAGAGAAGAATCACATTGCCAATTGAAATATAAGCAGTCCTGAATTTTTGGTGACAGGATGCACTTAAACAATTGTGGAGGTTAGCTTACCCTGATAGAGAACTCCCAGCATTGAAATCAGAGCTCTGGAAAGAGATGGGATGGCAGGGATCTGATCCTTCAACAGATTTCAGGTGTGGGAATATGAAGTCATTTTTATTAGGATTCTGTACAAATTGGTATTTACTTGGATAATTATGGACGAAATTTTAGGGGTGGAGGATTCATATCATTGGAGAACCTTATCTTCTTTGCCAAGACTTATCCGGTTTGTATTTTCTTCATTAACATGACTCTTGTATCTTTCATAATTAGCACTGGTAAAACATTTTCTTTATTCTAGATGACAATAACTGCAAAGATATTCTGAGAAAATGTGTTATATTAATAAAGAATAAACCACGAAGAAAGCAGAATGTCTCAAAAACTAAATTTTGTGTTTTATCTTTTCCTCACCCAACCCAACAACTCATCCAGTAGTATCTTTTAGAGGAACTGAACTGGAAGAGTTTAACTTATCTTGCCATGAGCACAGTCAATATTTCAGTAACTTTACATTTGGATGGGAGATCAGATTACACACAGGCAGTGTTGCTGGGGGCGAAGAATGATATTGGAAGGAGATGTCCTCAAATATAATCTGTTAAACTAGTCGAAATGTTAGGTCAGGGTCAGAAGCGTAGGTGTTCCACTTGGAACTTGGATTATTTCACTGTATGTGTTTTATAGGTGTCCCATGCGCAAAAGTATTTTATGACTTTTGAGAACTTAGCCAATATGAGAAATCGCTTCACAATTGAGAAGATGCCAGATAATAAAAAGAGTTTATTATGTGTTCTACAAGATTGATTTAGATCCTGGAATCTAAGAAATCAGTAAACTGAGCTTTGTGTGGTCTTAATAAAACTTGATTATCTATGACTTCATTTGGTTTTATAAATATAGTTATCTACAAAGAACATAATTAAACATTACATTTGGGTGGTAATCACAATTGGAGTGTTCACAGTACCACCTACAAATAGGTGCAAAGACTGAGAAATTCATGAATATGTAATTTCATTAGAATTATTAGCTGTATCTGCAGGCAAATAGCAGGAATTTATGCCAAGTTGGAGGCACCTAGAAACATATGATGTAAATCGCCTGGGGCATCTAGTCAATAAGAACCACAGGGATCATAATGAATCATTGAAGCACCATGGTGGCCTACTTTGTCCCATTCTAACTACAAAGAAAAATTCAAGTAATGGCCAACTCTAGCACCAAGCTGAAAGCTTGTTGGGATTTGTACTGTGGACTGTCTTACTTCATATTGCGGCGGGGTTTGTCCTAATCTAACTAAAAGAAAAATTCAAGTAATTGCCAACTCTAGCACTGAGCTGAAAGCTTGTTGGAATTGGTACTGTGGACAGTCTTACTTCATATTGTATTAAGAAAACAAAAAATGGTGGCATTCTGTGTGGAGGAACTATAATAGTGGCGTAGTCTGTGTGGACGAACTATAGCTATTCTGGATAGTTCAATCGGTATCGGAACTTTGCATTCTTTGACTGTTATTTTTGCTTGGTGCTTACCATATAGTTTTATTTCCTTTCCTTTCCTTCGGTCGCTAAGCGTTTTTTGATCATGAAATTTGGACACAACAAAAGGATCACCCTTCCCAAGTATATATACAAATGGAGGGGGAAATCCTTCCTGTAAAAGGGAGGGATTGAGGGGCCTGTGAAATTTTCTTTAATTAATTTTGGCGTTATGCTTGTGTTTTCCAAATGTTTAATGGCATATATTATTTTTGAGAGGTATAGAAGAATCTGCTTTTCTTGAGATTTTGATAAGTGTGTTCTGTTCTTTTCTTTATTAGGTCATTTGAAAGTGTAAAAAGTAGTTTTTTGTGTCTACTTCTCTTTTTGACAGGAAGCGTTTCAAAATTTGTTGTACAAGAGAGACGGAGACAGGTCAGAATGGGAGTATCCTTTTGCTGTAGCTGGCATCAATATTTCTTTTATGCTGGCTCAAATGTTAGATCTTCAATCAGGTATTAAATTTTAGAGTCAATGGCTGTTGTTATTCATGTGAATTGTGTGGCAAGGGTTTTATGTCTGATTTTACCTGAGAAGTATGCATCCAGCGAGTTGTAAATTTTCTCCTTTTCTTTGGGAAGTGCAAGTTATATTTCAACCATAATAGTAAATTGAACAAAATGAGTAACACATTTTTGAAACGATAATGGTATGTATAGAAAATAAACACTTTTTCTGATTTTTGTGTTTCTGTTGAAAAATGAAAAGTAAAACAGCATTTGTAACATTTTTGGAAATTGAGCAAGTCGTGTTTTTTTTTTTTTTTTTTTT